AATAATAATAATAATAATAATAATAATAATAATAATAAGGGCAGGATAAAACAACTAGTGATACGCACAACAGACAACAAGAATACCATTAATATCACTCAACAATTAATAAACACAACTATACTCAATTAAATCAAGCCCTTCAAATAAATGTATTTCACATAGTTCTTCCAGATAACTCTCTTTCAAATATAATTTTCTCAAATAATTATTTTTCAAATATAATTCTTTCAATAAATCTTTCCAAATACAATTTCCTCAAATAAATATCTTTCAAAATACAATTCTTTTATATAATACTTTCTAAGTAAAAATCCTTCCAAATAAATATTTTGAATATAATTCTTTCAATTAAAAAGTCACCATGTGACACCTCATTTCAAAATCATCAAAATACGGGTAAGCCCATTTTCATATTTTTCTTAAATACGGGTCTCATCCCATTTTCATATTTCCACGGCACCTTGTGCCCAAAATTAAATCATCATATTTGCCCGGCACCCCGTGCCCTCATTTCATATCACAACTGCACAGACAATTCACGTGCCAAATATCATTATTATTTTATCACAGCACCTCGTGCCCACATTTTATATCACAGATGTACGGATAATTCTCGTGCCAATATCCACATTTTATATCACAATTCACGGCACCTCGTGCCAATATTTTATTTTATAAACCGCCTGGCAATAGCCACATGCTTCCAATTTTAACATAAATTGAATTATTATCAATTTACTAACAATAAGACAAGTTGCACAAGGTATAAAAATAAACACAAGAAAATCACAACATCACATGAAAATTGTCAACACCACAACCCCACATCATCACATATCGTCCCTGACAATAGCCACCCTTATCGTTCATATTGCTACCCTTATCACTCCTATAGCCACCCTTATCGCTCCGCCCAGACAATATCAATAACCACCCTTATCGCTCCTATTGCCACCCTTATCGCTCCGCCCAGACAATATTCCAACAAACACAACAACGGTGAAATGCCACCCTTATACCCACATAATATCAACGGTGAAATGCCACCCTTATCTCCCCAAAATAGTAACTCACACAACACAATAATTTACACGAAAAATTAATACGACAATATAATAAAATCAATTCATATCACAATATGCCCAATGTTTGCAACCAAATTCCAAAAATATAACAAAATTAATTAAATTCACATCAAATAGCCAAAAGCTCCACACAATGCGTACAACACCCAAAAACAATCAATAGAGATAGAAATTACTCAACATAAAGCAAAGCCTTCATAAAAATCAAATTTTCAATAATTATATAAACACCTCTTCTTAAGCTCATTTAATTAATTATTTGCAGAGGGAAAAATCCAAAATGAAATTAAATTTCAATAATTATCAAACCAGCAAATTCACGAAATTTCATAATTAATCAAATAGCAACCACATCACATTGTCATATAACAACATAGTCAACAACAAGGATTTAGGCACGACAAGTTGATGATTAAATATATGCCAACAATTATCCAATTTACTATACAATATGATCAAGACTTTAACTCAATAAAACTTGCATATATAAACCAAGTACGTATTCATCACCTCGCGTACATGGTTTTCAATTACACAAATTGCACATAAGACACAATGCCTAAGGGAAAATTTTTTCACTAGAGGTTAAGCAAGACACTTATCTTTTTGAAGTTTGGCTGATATTCCAAAATAGCTTTCTTGCTTGAATTGACCTCCGGACAACTCAAATCTATCCAAATTAATTGTATAACTCCATTAAAATTTGTCAGAAATAATTTCGGATAATAATACGCCGACTTAAAAATTTATTCCAAAAAATCAACAAAAGTCAACGCGGGACTCGCCTCTAGGAAAACGACATAATTTTCATGAAATCCGAATAACCATTCCGATACGAGTTCAACCATACCAATTTTATCGAATTCCAATAACAACTCGACTTTCAAATCTTAAATTTTCGTTTTTGGTTTCCTCCATTAAATCCGAATTAAATGATGGATTCAAAGACATAATCATGGAAATTAATCAAAACTGGATAAGAATCACTTAACTCAAATACCCACGCAAGAATCTCTCCAAAAATAGCCTTTTACCGAGCTCCAAATTTAATTTTTGAGTTATGAACTCAAACCCCCGTTTTTGGGACTTTTAATTCTTACCAGATAGGCCTTCTTCGCGTTCGCGAAGCACAAAAATGTGCTGCCCAGATTCCTTCTTCACGTTCGCGATATCCTCATCGCGTTCGCGATGCCTTCCGACCTCTACCCTTCGCGTTCGCGAGACACGAGTCACGTTCGTGAAGGCTTAACGCCAGGCAGGCCCCCAACTCCCTTTCCTCTTCGCGTTCGCGTTTGCCCATTCGCGTAGGCTTTCCTCATCTCCTTCTTCGCGTTCGCGGCTTCTTCATCGCGTTCGCAATGGGCAAATCCCAGCCGTCCAAAATCCTTCTTCGCGAACGCGTGAGATCCTTCGCATTCGCGAAGAACAATACCAAATATCAGTTCCAGCAGTTGCAAAACAAGGAGAAACGATCTGAAACCATTCCAGAACTCACTCGAGCCCCCCGGGACCTCAACCAAACATACCATCAAATCCCAAAAAATCATACGAACTTAGTCGAACCTTCAATTCACCTCAAACAACTCGAAAACCACGAGTCATACCCCAATTCAAAATCTATGAACTTTGAACTTTCAAATTCTATAACTTGTACCGAAACACATCAAATCAATCCAGAATGACTTCAAATTTTGCACACAAGTCATAATTAACATTATGGACTTACTCCAACTTTTGGAATCGGATTCCGACCCCGATATGAAAAAGTCCACTTCCGGTCCAATTCTCCAAAAATTCGACCTTCGCCATTTCAAGTCCAAATTGGCTACAGACCTCAGATTCACAGTTCGGACATGCTCCTAAGTCCAAAATCACCCAATGGAGCTAACGGAACCGACAGAACTCTATTTCGGAGTCGTCTTCACACAGTTCCGACTACAGTCAAAATCCTAAGACTTAAGCTTTCGTCTTAGGGACTAAGTGTCCCAAATCACTCCGAATCATCCGTAAATCAAGCTCGACTATACACGCGGGTCATAATACATATTGCGAGGCTGCTCGAAACCTTAAGTCACTGAACGGGATATAAATTCTTAAAACGACAAGTCGGGTCGTTACAAGTATCTAGGATTTCTAGTACATGGGTACACTACTAAAAAAGGGAGAAAAATGTACTAAGTGAGAATTGATCTCTATAAATTCCTCTTGGTAAATAACCCAACCTTCAAACAAGTGCAACATTCATCCTTTTTGAAGCATAGGTGTCAACAGTTAATATTATACCAATTTTAAAAAATATGTACATAAAATATTTAATTTTGCAGAGAAACCATGGGTTCACGTGTCCTGTAATCTTTTCTATAAATTTGACCCTGAACCCGGTACACAAAGCATCTCGCGTTCACGCAAGATCCAGAAAAGGAAAAAGTGAAAATAGCAAACATGCAAAACAAAAAAAAACAAAAAACAAAAAAAGGAATGGCTGCCAAACCCATAAACGACCCCTTAAACTCGGCTCCACTTTTTATTTTGACACCTTTACTTTGGTCTTTTCCATTTTGACACTCCAACTCATTCTCTCATGTGCCACTTAAACAAAAAACGCATGGCCTTTTTTAAAAGTCATTCGTGTAAGCGCCGCCCACGTGTAAAGCCAACCAATTATTCTCTGCCACTTGGATATATCATCCACCTAGGACCCCCAACACGTATCAATTAACCCCGATCCGGTGAGACTAACCAACGATGGATTAAAGGGTTAAAACAAAATAACCCCTTTCATTTTTACCTATAATAATCTGCTTTCTCTCACCCCGCTAACCAAAATCCCAAACCCTATTAGATAAAACCATCGATTTTCAGTAGATTTTCGTTCGTGCGAAGGTTATACTGTGAACATCGGCTTGAATTGTCGCTCTATTTCATCTAGTTCTTGCTGGTAAGTTCTTACATACCCCTATTTTAATGGGATTTTTTTTTACCATTAGGGTTTTTATATCTTGTTTTTAAATCTTCTGATGTGTCACCTTCTTTTGGCGTTTTTCCTTTTTATTGTAGGGTAAAGTTGATATAATGTCAGCTGAAGAATATATTCTTGTCCGTTTTTACCAAGGTGGTACTTTTATCAAAGATTATGTCGCCAAATACGTTGGTGAGAGTGAGGCAAAAGAGTATTCAATAGATAAAGACCACTTTTCATTGGTTGAATTTTTGTATTATACAAGGCAACTGGGTATGTTATTATTGGTTTTTTTTAATGTCTTTAACTCTAGGTCAAAAAAGTTATACTGGTTAAAAATGATGAACAATTATATAATATTGTCTGCTACTGTAAAGAGGGGGTCCTGAACATATTTGTTAATCATGTTATTGAAGAACCACCTTTGGAGATGGTCCTTATTGCTCTTATTTGTGGGCCCGAGGTGGTTGAAGCCACTAATAATGAGTCTAGGGCAACTTTAGATGGTGGCTTAGGTGATATAAATGCAGAACAACAGTATGGTAATGAAATTGTGGAGGTTGTAGTAGACAAAGTTATTGAAAACACTAATGTAGATGGTGCTGAAAATTCAGAGCTAGATTTGTCAGATTTGCTTAGTAGTGACACTGATTTAGATGATATACTTGAGGGAGATGATCGAGAATTAGATGGGGAGTAAAGAGCTATAAGAACATAAAAAGAAGAAATAATTTGCAGAAAGAAAAGGGGAAACAAAGGCTGAAGAAGAAGAGGATGTCACCTATTACAACAGAGGAGGTTGAGCTGGGAGAAGCTAGAGCAGACAAAGGTTTTGATAAAATTGATAGGCCAAGTAAGAAATATAAATATACTAGTAAATTAGGGGGGATGAGGATTACTATGATAGTAGTGACAAAGGAAGTGATGACAGTCAAGATGAGCTAGATATGCTTGCAGAACCTGGTGTTGACTTACCAGCTAGAAGAAGTAGTAAGAAGCTCAGGTTTGACCCAGAATGTTGGCTTGCTATTTTTGAACTTGGTATGGTCTTTGAAGGTGTTGAAAAATTTAGGAAGGTTGTTCAATCCTATGTTGTTGAGAACAAAGTGCAGCTTACACTTAGGCCTAATAAAAAATATAGAGCTAAAGTTAAGTGCAAAAGTAAGTATTTGTGCAAATGGGAGCTATATGCAAGTAGAGATAGAGATTCTGGAGATTTCATAGTGAAGAAATACCATCCATGGCATAAGTATACTAATAAAAATAAAAATAAGTTGTGCACTTCTAAATACATTACAAGAAAATTCAAGGATATGATAGTATCTCAGCCAAACATTAAACTATGGGAGATTCAAAAATGGGTTAGACAGAAGCTTGGTTTATATGTTGGGAGGACTATGGCATACAGGGTTGAGGCAATTGTAACGAAAGATTTTATGGGGGACTGGAAGCTGGAATTTTCCAGATTGGCTGATTATGCTGGTATGATTAGGAGGACAAATCCAGGGAGTTCTTGCTGGATTAAAACTGACAGGGACAGTGTACCAGGGAAGAACATGTTTGTTTACTTTTATGTCTATTTTGATTCCCTTAAAAGGGGTTGGTTAGAAGGTTGCAGAAAAATTATTGGTTTTGATGGATGCTTATTGAAAGGGTTGTGTAAAGGTAAGTTATTAGTAGTTGTTGGCAAAAATGGGAACAATCAGATATTTTTAATAGCATGGACAATTGTGGACCAAGAGACAAAATACTTGGACATGGTTCATTCAACACCTGAGTGCTGACTTGGAGTTAGGAGATGGTTTCAACTTAACAGTAATGTCAGACAGTCAAAAGGTAATCTTCAGCTTACACTTATTTTACTGTTGTCTGCTATTCTTAACTTCAATTAAATAATATTAACTTTACTGTTGTCTGCTATTTTTACATGGACTAATACCTGAAATTGAAGATTGTTTATCAATGACAGAGCATAAGATATGTGCTAGACATATATGGTTCAACTGGGAAAAGAAATGGAAAGGTGAAGAAAGAAGAATACAATTATGGAGACGTGCCAAGTCTTTCTTTGTAGTACAGTTCAAGGATGAGCTTGCAAGATTGGAAATGTTGGGGAGAAACATATGTGAGGATGTTCTGGATTACAACACAGAAGTATGGGTAAGGAATTATCTTTGTCCTGTGTCTAAATGTGATGTTGTTAAAAATAATATGTGTGAGACATTTAATTCATGGATAGTGGTACCTAGGCACAAGTCAATTATAACTATGTTAGAGGAAATCAGACACAAAGTGATAACTAGAACTGTTGATATGGTTTTGAGATTTCTGATGGTGATATTAAGCATATTGTTGATTTAAGAGAGAAGAATTGCACTTGTAGAACGTGGATGTTGAGATAAATTCTATGTCCTCGTGCTATTTGTTCCCTATATCACTTAGGACAGAATCCAGAAGACTTGGTTGAACATTGGTACAGAAAGACCACCTTCATGAAAGCTTACCAGTATTTTAAACAGCCTATTCCCAACATAAAGATGTGGCCAGAATTATCAAATCCCTCTATTGAGCCACCTAAACTAAAACCAATGCCAGGAAGACCTAAAATATACAGGAGAAGAGCAAAGGATGAGCCAAGAAAGAAACATGGCAAGCTGTCAAAGAAAGGAGTGAAGACGACTTGTTCAAAGTATCATTAGTTAGGTCACAACAAAACTGCATGCAAATCAGGGGTAAGATCAATTAATTTTTTATGATTTTAGCATTCTATAATTTACACTAATTGTTTATGCTTTTAGCCTAAAATAGGAGATACTCAAGCAAGTCAATCAACTCATAGAAGTCAGCCAACTCCAAGGAGGAATCCAACCTCAACCATGCCTAGCATTCCATCCTCAATTTGTGAGGACACATCTGCTGTGAAAAGATATGGTCAGAGTCAGTCCAGTTCTATAGGAAAAGGAAGAGGAAGAGGAATGGAAAATGACCTAGGAAGGGGATATTTTAGATCACAGGAAGGGGCATAGGCACACAACAAACATCTGAAACTAACAAACAGTAGGATATAAAAGGCCTAGGCTGTCTGATTTTGGTGTTTATCAAGACACAATGACTGGAAGAACTGTCATGAATGAGAGTTATACCTCTGTTATAATTTTTTTTGTTTAAGTTAGTAGCAGACTCTAATATGTTATTATTTTGCAGCCCCGTAACCCTTCTGAGAGGGTGATAACACCTGGTACATATAGGGTGATAGCACCTGCCAAGAATATGAGGCCTTCCAGCCAAGATACGGAGGGAGAAAACAATTAAGTTTCTTTAGATTTCTTTATCTATATTGTAGTGGTTGTTAAGTCCTTCTGTTGTTGACATTGTTGGTGTTTTTTAGGATTGCAACTACATATTGTAACTGTAAATAATTAAGCTATGTTTTTTGTGATTGCAAACTTAAACAGCTTGTTGCTTTTGTTTTCGTGTTAGAAAATTTCAGTTGTTAACACTTTTGTTGCTTTGTTGCTTTTGGTTTCGTGTTAGAAACAACTTGCTGCTTTGTTCCTTCTGTTGTTAGCAAATGTCACAGCTTTAAGACCAAAGTATTAGCCAATTTCAGAGATTCAGTTGTTTGCCATTTTAACAGATTATGCAGCGAAAGAAATAATAAGTCAGCCAGCAACCTTCAACAAAGACTAATTCATTTCTTCATAAATGTACATATGCAAAAGACAATATATAGATAGGTACAATATTTGATTTTTTTCATTAACAAACACAAGATCGCCATCAACCTTCAATCCCACCCAAAAACTAACAATAATATTGCCAGCAACCTTCAACAATGGTCTTCTTAGCTTCAATCAACAAAATGCAAGCACGACCAAATAATTCCACGCAATGACACGACTATAAACACAAAAATCTACTTCTTCCTTGCCCGAGCCAATTTCGCTTCATTTTCTTTGACCCTTTTTAGCAAACCATTAATGGTCTTCTTAGCTTGATCGAGAAAGTCTTCGTCATACCATCTAAAGTAGTCGCAAGCATCTCGATCATTCAAAAAAGGATGAATCATAAAAAAATATTTAAAAAATTAACCCAATTTGCTAAGCATAAGTGCAAAAAGATGGCCGACTTACTTTGTCCAATTTACACCCATAAAATCGACGACATAGATTTTTGGGGGACCGTGAAATTTTCAGCTTTGCGTTATAACCACAACAACAAAAATCCAATCCCTTTAGAGAAATCTCTTCTCATTGCGACATGGGAAGAAGAAGAAGACTAGTATAATAGAGTTCAATTTCCTATAAATTTAACGTAAGATTCAACAAATTGAAGAAAAAATGCAGTCTTTGAATATTGATGGAGATGGAACTTTTGAGATTTATGGCTTATTTTGCAATTGTTAATGAAGAAAGAGATAGGAAAAGCAGGTAAAAATAGCACGGGGTTAGCCAGTTTTCGGACTGGTAATTGAAAAATAGCCAGCGTTTGTAAAGTCATTAAAAAATAGCCAATATTTTGCTATAATACGAACCGGTCCAGCATAATATACTAGAGATTGGTGCACCTGTGCGTGAACTTCCAGCATATTATATTGGAGCTCCAACACGCTGAAAGTTCCAGCATAATATATTGGATATTGGAGCACTTGTATATGAACTTCCAGTATATTATGCTAGACCGGTATATTATACTGGAACTCCAGTATATTATGTTGGAGTTCCAGTATATAATGCTGGAATATTTTCCGGATTTTGAACATTGTTTTCGTTCAGATTTATCTTTATATGAAAAGTGGCTAAATTTCGATTATTTTTGAAACTGTGACTATTTTTTAATTATCACTTGTAAATCTGGATATTTTTGAATTTCTCCCGGAAAGCGGGTATAAAAGGGGGCCCAACGGTAAGATTTATTACCGTTAAAATGGGACTGAAATTAGAGACTCGCGCGCGACCTGGGTGTGAAAACTCACTCAACGTGACAAGTCAGCATTTTGTGTTTAAGTGGCACACGACGGAATGAATTGGAGTGTCAAAATAAAAAAGGCCAAAATAAGAGTGTCAAAATAAAAAACGGAGTCGAATTTAAAGGGCCGATTATGGGTTTGGCCAAAAGGAATTTAGCTATATACCTTCAATGAAGTAAAGAAAAACAGTATCAAGAGAATTGAGCTGTGATAATAGGTTAATTATCATTTGTATTCATTGATTGATATATAAGGTAAATGACAAAGCTTAAATCCACTCAAAAGACTTGTTCCTAACTTGAAGCCATCACACGTTGACATTGACACCTGATAGTGAGCATTAAGCTCCAAGCAAAGTCGCACGGTTCACACCCCAAGAGATTTGTTGTACGGTATTAAGAAACGGGATATTTTGAGGACTCTAATTTCTAAAAAAAAATCCTTCTTAAATTAATCATTGGCGTTTGAAATTTATTGACGTGATTTATTTTTAATTTTCAAGCAGAGGCGGAATCAATATTTGAAATTTATGGGTTTAAGATTAAAATTCTTGTAAGTTACTGGGTTCTAACTTAATAATTTGTGCATATTCAATGAATTTGTTAAGACAAATATAAGATTTGGACCAAAATTACTGGGTTCAACCGAACCCGTAGCTGAAGAGCCGGCTCCGCCCATGTTTTCATGTATATGACCTATTTAAGAGATAATACTCTCTATTAAGAATTTTTCAATTTTCATAAATTACAAGGTAAGAGATCTTATTCATTTTAGAATGTGGTTGGTTTCTTTTGAAAAATATTAGAGTCTGATTACTCATAAAGGATGCTAATTAGCTCAATAGTCCATTAATTTGTCCTTCACCTAATATCGTATTACTAGCCTATGCAAATATTATTATAAGTGTTGAATTTTTTTATTATAATAATAAAAACGGCTAACGTTTTGAGTAGCTAAGATCAATCTCTACATCTAGAAGATATTTAGGGTATGACAATAGAAGTTTATTTGAATCATGAGGACTCTCTGACGATTGATGAATCAAGCCGTAATTGTTGAGGGAAAAATATGTAAATCTCCTAAACTAGTATTATTTACGTTCAAATACTAAAATTTCCAAGTCAAAGTCGTTATTAGGCAAACAAATCAGTCAACGGTCTTATATGACCAGAAACGAAAGGACAGATTTTGTTTGAATACAAAGTATGACAAAATTGGATAAACTGACAGACGAAACTGCATGGGATCGTTTGGTTTGAATACAGCTTATGTCGGAATAAGTTATGCTGGGATAAATTATGTTGAAATTAGTTATCCTGGTATGTTTTTATCCATTATTTGATATATTGTATTAAAAATAACAATTGTATAATTTCTAAGAAGAAGGTATAAGTTATTCCGGCACTAATTACCTCTCCCTCTACAAAGTATAAGTTATCCCGATACTAATTTTAATCCTGAAATAACTTATACCAAATTTGCTAATCAAATAAAATATTAAAATGATATTAAATTTTTATACCAGCACTATAATTTTTTATACTTAGTCCCAAACGACCGCTAAATGGATGAGTCTGAATATAAGATGACGCCTTTCACAAAGTTCAATCAAATGGTATAATTCAATCTAGACGAATAGGAGAAGTAGCTAGCTAGTACGTCAATCATTTATTGGCCTTATTTCACCTCAGAATGAGACAACCAAGCTTTAGATTTTCCCAAGTCATCCCATGCGTCATACTTAAAATTAGAACCGAAACTAAAATTTAAAGTTTATGGATTCTAAAATTATCATCAGACTCATAATTCGTCTTAATTATTGAATTCGCAATTAAATATTTATATATATATAATAAATTTTTTAATACAAAAATAATATTTGAAAAAAACTAACTGAGTTCGACCAGGCTAGCTCCGCCTTTGCTTAAAACATTCTGAATTGGCAGAATACATATTTTATCAGACCAAATCTCTATAACACATCCCTTCAACACGGACAATCCCTTACACACACAATCTTTTCAAGGTCAGAGGACAAACTATATTTCTGCCTTCTTAAGTTAGTTCGGTTCCCATATTAGTTACCTCTGTATTATATTTTATAATACATGAATTATTTGTGTGATGAATAGTATTTTCTTCATTTTAATTTATGTAACGGAATTAACTACGTACTTAATTTAAAAAATAAAGACGTTTGAAATTTGAGGTCTAATATAAATTATAAATATTTATAGGTCTATATATCATCTCATTAAGGGTGAAATAAAAAATTTAAAGCTAAAAATATTAGTTATGTGACAAATAATAATAGAGGAATCATTACGTGATTAATAATAATAATAATAATAGGGTTGTTATATGGTGAAAATAATACTCCAAAACATTGCATAGGGATTACTTACTTTTAGATCATTTTATCTTTAAATACTACACTAGTATTAGAACCCCGGATAATATTAAAGAATATATTATGATCTTAGAGCACATTAGATCGTATTGTTTAACCAAATTTTAATTGCTATGTTAATTTTTAATGCACTGTGCGAAATAATCTCTATGAAATAAAGGATATGAGTCGTAGTCATCGAATAACTTATTTGTTCCTTATTTTTTCTTTATTAAATTATCAAGTGAAATACTTTTACTGTGATGTTTTATTAGTTTTCACATTTATTATTTATTTATAATTAAAATAATGTAATAATCATAAAGTTAAAAACTTTTTATTACCATGTTAAAAGATCTACTGATATTTTTAGTAATGTATATATTTTGTATTATAAAAGCAATAAATTTCCTTTATTTTCTAAATTCAATATTATTTTTGAGTGTTATATAACTTATAAATACCCTAGCATTATCTTGGTCCCCTCTCTTCTCGTACATTATTTACGGTGATTTTTTTCTTCAAAATTTATTATTTTATTTATAATTAAATCATAAAGTGAGAAGCTTTCTATTACCATATTAAAACATTTACCAATAGTTTTAATAATGTATCTATTTTTGGATTATCTTCACTAAATTCCTTTATTTTATTTTCTATATAAAATTATGACTTCTATTTAATAATTAAATTTTATATATGATCAATTATTTCATTTTAATCTCTGTTGCATGGAATTCTTTTATTTTTTTAATAAATATGTTTCTTGACTTTTATTTTGCTAAGATTTCAGTTATGTGATATATTATACCAATTTTCTTGTCTTGATTTACATTTTTTTTTCTAAAAGTATTGTTCTTTTTTTTATTTTTTTATTTTCCTTGCTTATTGTTATTGTATTATTCATTACTTAGTATTGTTATGTTCCCGTATGAATTTTTATTAGCTTACCACTTTCTTATAGCATGTTTGGTCAAACTTCTAAAATCTGCTTATTTTGAGAAATATTTTTTTTAAAAATGCTTTTCAAAAAAGTACTTTTGGTGAGAAGCAGTTTGTGTTTGGCTAATTAATTTGAAAAGCACTTTTAAGAAATAATTAGTGTTTGGCCAAACTTTTAAAAAGTGCTTCTAAGTGTATTTTTCTCAAAAGTGTTTTTCAAAAAAGTGCTTCTGGGAAGAAGCTACTTTTTCTGCTTCTTAAAAACTGTTTTTGCTTCTACTCAAAAGTACTTTTTCTCCTTCAAAAAGCTTGCCAAACACCTTAACTTTGAGAAAAAAGCACTTTTGGCCTAGAAAAAAGCTTGGCCAAACGGGCTATTTGTAACGATCTGACCGGTCGTTTTGCTTTCTAGATCCATGTTCCCCTAAATAATATTTCTCGTATATGCTTTTACTGTTTTATGACTAGCGGTGATGGTTAGTTCGGAATCTGGAAGAGTTCGGGTTGAAATCGGAACGCTTAGTTCCTTAGTTGGCCTTTAAAAGGCTAAATTTGACTTTGGTCAACATTCTGAGTTGTCACGACCCAATTTCACCTATAGGTCGTGATGGCGCAGAACACTACGGCTAGGCAAGCCAACTTAATAAATTAAGCATTCATTGACAAAATTTAAAACCAAGAGAAATAATAAAATCCAAATTCTACCAATGTGTGTGCCAAGACCTAGTGTCACAAGTGTATGAGCATCTAGTAGATTATACAAAACCTCAAATACTGTCTGAAATAAAATAGACAGAATGAAAAAAATATAAGGAGAGACATTAGTAGCTGCAGAACGGCTCAGAAAGGCAGCTCACCACTATGCCATTGGATAGCGTGGGTGTAAGACGATAGGTCCCCCACTAGCACTTGCCTCAGGTCCTACACAAAAAGTGCAGCAAGTGTAGTATGAGTACGTAAACAACGTGTACCCAGTAAGTATCAAGCCTAATCTCGAAGTGGTAGAGACGAGATGGCCGACTTTGACACTCACTATGGGTCTATAATAATAATGAAAATACAACTAGGATATTTAAATCAACATAATTTACAGAATTTGCAATAATTTAATTA